CATGCTATCATCGGCGTGGACTTCCTGTCGCATTTCGGTCTCCCAGTGGACTGTCGGAACAACCACATCCTGGACGGGGTCACGACGCTGTCAGCCCGGCACTGGCGGCCAACGCAGTGATCCTCAGTGTAAAGACGATCAGCAGCAACACACCGATCGACAGCCTCCTCACAGAGTTCCCGAACCAGACCCGCCCAGCTGGAGTCCAGAGCGAGATACGATACAACACCGTCCACCACATGAGGACTGTACCTGGCCCACCAGTAACCTGCCGACCACGGCGACTGGCAAGGGACCGACTCGCTATGGCAAAAGCCGAGTTCGACGCCATGTTGCGGGATGGTACAGCTTGTAGTTCAGAGAGTTCATGGGCCTCGGAACTACATATCGTACCCAAGAAAGAAAGACAGCGGTTGACGTCCTTGCGGCGACTATAGAGCAACAAACGCCCGGATGATCCCTGACCGCTATCCAGTAGCGCATATCCATGACTAGGCACACCAGCTCCATGGCTGTATAATTTTCTCCAAAATTGACTTGGTACGAGCCTATAACCAAATTCCCGTCAATCCCGGTGATATACAGAAGACGGCCATCACCACTCCATTCGGCCTATTCGAGTTCCCCTTCATGTCCTTCGGCCTACGCATCGCAGCACAGACCTTCCAACGATTCATGGACAACATTCTGCTGTGACTCGACTTCTGTTTTGCTTACATGGATGATCTCCTCATCTTCTCCCGGTATCTAGAGGAACACGAGCAACACCTACGGGCACTCTTCGATCGACCGCAGAAGTATGGTATCCTCATTAACCCGGCGAAGTGTGTCTTCCGAGTACCTGAGATCACCTTCCTCGGGTACAAGGTGTCCGCCGAAGGCTCCCAACCACTGGAAGAACGAGTGACTCGCCTCCAGGAATGTCAAGCTCCCAAAACCGCAAGTCAGCTCCGCGGTTTCCTGTGCATGCTGAATTACTACAGTCGATTTCTGCCCCACGCTGCAGCACACCAGCCTCCACTGCACGACGTACTCTCCGGACCCAAGGTCAAGGGATCCCACCCCATCACTTGGACACCGGAGCTCTACATGGCCTTCGAAAAGTGCAAGGCAAGTTTGTCACGCGCCACACTACTGGCTCACCCCGATCCATCCGCGCCACTTGCACTCGTCACAGATGCCTCCACGTCCGCAATGGGTGCCGTGCTACAGCAACGCGTCAAGAAAGCCGTAAAGGCCGTAAAGCACTTTCGCCACATTCTGGAAGCGCTCCACTTCAGCATCTGCACAGACCACAAACCTATCACCTACGCATTCCAGCAGAAAAGGGAAAATGCTCAACAAGGTAATTCAACCACCTGGATTTTATAGCACAATTCACGACCGACATCCGACACATCTGGTGGCAGGACAACTTTGTTGCCGACGCGCCCTCCCGCGTCGAATCCTTCACGGTGCCACCATTCTACGACGCATTGGTCGCATCGCAGGACAGCGACGACGAGCTCCAATCACTTCGGCAGTCAAACACGGCTTTGAGGCTCGAAACGCTACCAATACCCGGTAACACGGTGGCCATCTACTGCGATACCTCTGCCGGGAAAATTCGGCCGTACATCCCAGCTCCTCTACGGTTCGAAGTGTTCCAGTCCGTCCATGATCTGTCGCACCCAGGGACCAAAGCAACAGAGAAGCTGGTCTCACAGCGATTCGTATGGCCAGACATGCAAAAGGATTGCCTCACCTGGGAACGTGCTTGCCAGTCTTGCCAGCGCTCCAAAGACTCCCGCCACACAGTCACTCCACTGGACGACTTTACAACGCCGGCAGCCAGATTTCTTCGCGTCCACATAGACCCTGTTGGACCTCTTCCTACGTCAGGAGGCTACATATACTGCCTCACTGCAGTCGACTGTTTCACCCGTTGGCCAGAAACCATCTCCATCCCGGATATCACAGCCGACATATTGGTACGAGCCCTAATGACCGGCTGGATATTCCGCTTCGGTTGCCCACAGACAATCACCACCGAGCAGTGACGTCAGTTTGAATCTCAACTCTTCTATTCCCTGGACAATCTCGGTGGCACTCAACTCCCACGAACAACTGCTCACCACCCAACGGCTAACGGATTCGTGGAACGTTTCTACCGAACAATAAAGGCAGCCATTATGTGCCACGCAAACCAACACTGGACAAAGCCTTACCCCTGGTTCTCCTCGGAATGCGCACGGCATTCAAAGATGTCCTGCAGGCATCAGTAGCTGAGCTCGTGTACGGCAAGCCACTAAGAATACCAAGAGACCTGCTAACACCGACTGCCTAGCCAGTGAATCCAGCGAACCTCATCACGAAACTTCGACAATATTGGCCCGCCTCAGACCAAATCCAGCAACACGCCATGCTTCCCCGGCGACATTCGTGCACAGCGGCCTCGAGAATGGCACGCACGTCTTCCTCCAGCAAGAAACGGATCGCAGAGCATTGAAGCCCACAAAGAGTGGCCCCTACCAGGTACTATGACGGAAGGAGAAGACAATGCTAATTATCAAGCGCGGCAGAATCGCCACCGTGTCAACCGATAGGGTCAAACCTGCCAATATGTTAAACGAGACAGGACGTGGGACAACCATAAAGACCTTCAACCCCGCAGCCGACGAAACCCCAACCGCGGTTCTGCATGTCGTACCACCAAAGCCTGTTCAACGAAATACACGCTCCAGACGTCAGGTACGTTTTCCTGATCGCTAAAATAGCTGAGCAACAATCTCTGAGGGGGGTGGGAGGGTGATGTGGGAACAGCACACAATCAAGCAAGTATGAAAAAGCAAGCGTCATTGCTTAGCAACGACGAGTAAACAACGCTTGCTAGGCAAAAGGAGCAAACAGCGGTTGGCAGGGAACTTATAAACACGGTATCCGGCACCAGCAGTACCTATTACCTAAGCGTTTTCTATATATCCGACCCTAGTCTATATAAGAAGTTACATTGAGTGGAGTTACAGTTAAAGTTCTAGATTATACAGTTCGCTATTGTTATTATCCGTCGTTAAATATTGGGAAGCTGCAAAAAATCCTATAGGACAGTTCAACAAGGCGTTGCCTCTTTACACGACCACCAACATCGGTGACCAGTAGGTGACTGGAGCGCGTGTGGTGAAGATCATCGACAACTACAAAACACTGCAGAAACCTCAAAATAAATCATACCTCTATTACATCTACAATAAATTACAGCCGTTCTCTATGGCACACCAAACTTTATCTCTGACATTAAGGGAGGGACATAGGCGTAGATTTCTTTTGAGAACAGGGTGCTTAGAAGGTAATAATTCGAATGATCAAGTCAAAGAGGGTTCGATGGGTAGGGAATGTAGCACGAATGCGGAAGAAGAGGAATACATATAGGATATTGGTGAGAAAGCCATAAGGAATGTGACAACTGGGTAGTTCCAAACGTAGGAGGGTTGATAATATTAAAATGGTTCAAAGTGATATAAAATGCGATTAAAATATCTCAATCAAACTGTCTCAGTGTAGGGTTCTCGTGAAAACAGCAATGTATATTCGGGTTCCATATAAATTTCGGAATTCTTAAGTAGTTTCTCGAGAAGGACACAGCTCCAAGAGTAAGTTATAAAATAGAGAATTAATAAGATCATGCGTACATTTGAGTTGTAACAGTGACAATAATTTATGGCAAAATAATTATAATATTTCATTAGAGACATGGAAATTGAATAATTACAAGATAATATTCGCAACTGAGGTGTTATACTATTTCCGATATATTTTAACTCCCTCCCTGCCACATTGATAACGTGAGAATCCAACACCTCCTGTAGCCAACTTCAGAAATGCGATTCGGAAGGAGGTCGTAAGCCATAAAAGAAATAAATTCACTAATATATAATTTATTGTGTACGTACAAGAAAATGTGTTACAGAATTAACTACATGAGATCGNTCCCTGCAAGAAATACAAAATCGGGGTCAGCAATATATGACGAATTTCGTTCAGAAAATCCACAGAGGAACTTTGCGAATCTCTCTGCGGTGAACATCAATATTCCTGGCGTCTCATTTGTGTTGCTGTGTCGTGCTGTGCCCACCGGCCAGGGTACAGGTTGTCATTAACTAGAAGGCCACTAGGTAATGGATGGGCTAAGTGGTTCCCGCGGGAACATGCTAGCACTGTCCCTTACCTAGAAATGTCCTTCTTCTATGACAATTTACTCCGGCTTGTATACATCACATTAAATTTCACCCCTCTTAGCGGCTCCTTGGTAAGGTGATTGTCGGTCCACCAATCCGTCCGAATGTGAATGGGAATATTTGCTGCGCAACTTGCTCAAACTCACGTATTTCATCACTACTTTTTCAAGATGACGCTCGGGTTAAAGCCTCGGTCACAATCGGTTCTCGCCGTACTCTGAAGAGGAAAAAGAAGTCTGTGACCACGGGCTCTAGCCACCGTCATCGTCTCCTGCTTCATGACGATTTAGTCCAACCAACACACGGAGAAATAATTCGCAAGCTATCACATGACATCTATTCCCTTTCTGATCCAGGAGAAACGATGACGCCACGCCGCTGTCAATCCCCTCTAGTAGAGACACGATATTGTACTAACATGTTCGTTAGTTCGTTAGATCGTAAGTTAGCGGAAAGTCGAAAGCGGCTCGGAAGTCAAAGTGACGGCAAATCTTCTCGAAATCCTTGTCGTGTGGAGATTCTTGTGCCTTTGCGTGACCTTGTACAGGTCTTGCTGACACCCAGTTTTCTCTCTCCCTCGCAGGCAGTTCCGTCAGTACATCCTTCATTTTGCTCCGAGGAAGGACAGTCAGAATTATTTTGGACTTTCCTTCGGCAGAAAAATTGTGGTCCTCTATTCCGCCATCGCTTATATCGAACTTTCATAAGTGGGCTACAGGTAGGCAATATGCTTCAGTTCTGGGCGCTGTGCAGCATCCTTTTCTACGTCATGGTCACTCAGATGGCCTACTTTCGAACCCCGAATGTGTACGCTGGTGCCCTTTCTCCTCTCATGATAGGACACTTCTTTGGGTAATAGGTACCAGGTCCAGGTGTTTGGACACGAACTGCCTTCACACTTCTTCCTTTCGTAGTAGGAGCACGAAGGTTGGGCTTCTCGAATCCTGTCTGACCTGGTTTGACGTAACATGGGTCCGGCATTTTTTTCCCATTTTCTTGGATCGGCTTTCCAAATGAAAATGCTGGATATCTTTTCCTGGTTATGTCGTGATTCTCATAACCAAAAACAGGACGGAGTGTGTAACTACCCGGACCTGGCAAAGTTTTCCGTGTTTCTTTCTTCATCTTGAATACGAGTAAGTACGTACTTTGCGAATCTGCTCTCCAGTCACGCCTCTAGCATTTCTTTATTGGAAGTTCGATAGATATTCGTAACTAAGAATAATAGTTACAGCAAATTTCACACTTATGCACAGAGCAAAATCCAACGCTTCTCAATTTCTGTGTTATAACTGCTCGTTGTATTTTAGAGTCTTCTAACGAATTATAACTGTCTCTTCTTGTCACTTGCTCTAGGCTGAATGATACGCAACGAAATAGTTGCAGATTTTCGCACCGAAGTGTGCATATACGTTTCCGTTGTAACGACTTTTCCATTTCGTTTCAAGATTCACAAATCAGTTGACATTGTAACGGATAAATAAACAGTTTTTCACAGCAACGCAACAATTGAAGAACTGTTGACAACCGTAATTTCTGTAGTGATCGTGCGGTATTAAAACGGAAAAATTTTCTGTCTGTTTGTCGATTCATATTCGCTATTAGGTTGAACCCTAGTGCATTAATATGATTTTCTAAGTATCTTAAGTATTTATATTCCAATTTTTCGCTACCTGGAGCTCGAAATTTAAAGACGTGAAAACATAAGCTAGTCGTTCGTTACTAGGATATGCCTAGAGAATATACTGTACACGTGTAACCATTGTCGAAAGCGATAACCTAACAACATATCATGTAAGCAGACTGAGAATATTGTCACGTGTTGGGTGCATATCGCGCGACAAGCAACTTCACGCCATATTGGATATAGCGAATTGTCTGCACATTCGCCCTTACAATCTCAAGATTATCGCCATTGGCAGTATCACAAATACTCTGGCGAAAAATCGGCAGCAATTAAATGGTTACTCTTTCTCTAGTAACTCACTCACTAGTAACAGCTACTCGCAAACTGGCTATCTACTGACGGACTACTCACTCCCTGGCTAACTCGTAACTAACTGTTGAATAGTGTTCGCTGCTCCTTATTTAGCCCCGTTACGGACAACACAGAAAACACTTACGTAATATGCACAACTGTTGAGTAACGTCGTGTTTACCGACTGCCTAGGAACAGTCGTTGCACGGACTACCCGACGTGTTTACAAAGGCGTTGCTGGGCGCCCCTGCCGGGAGTTAGTTACGGCTACGTAGCAACTGCGTCGTTCCTTGTTACGTCACCGCGGGGAAAGGGGTGTCTACCAAGCGTTGCACACTGATAGACGGAGTGGTGGTATTTGACGTCACTCGCGAGATCACACAGTTCAAGCGACACCCACCTCCCGCTGCGCCATCCGCGTCACAATATTTAAGAATTCTGATAGAATAGAATAATCCATCTTTCTTTCCTTCTGAAACTGTAGAGAAGGCCAAGCGATATATTAACTTTCTTTGAGGACGCAGAAATGTGGACAGCACTGGGACTCTGTTGTAATATGGTCATGAAGGAACATGTAATTCAACAGAAATTCACAGTCCCAGCACAACAATCTAGCTAAAATATGATGTCTTTGTGACAAACAACAGATAGAACCAAACCAGGAAACAGCAAAGTAGGCAATCCCTTTCTCTCTAATACAAAAAAAAACTCCAGGAAGAGGTTTCACGTTTCTCAGAAGAAGATATCCTAACAATACGAGACAAATGAAACAGCTATAGACATTAAAATTCAACAACCAAGTGAATCCAAATGTCCATAATAACTACGGGAAACAAACTTCTTTGAAATTGTTAAACACCTAATAGAAACTATAGGAGAACCGTATTACTCCAAAAGACTCTCAAGGGAAAAGATATCAATCAATGTGACCACATCAGACTCCAATCGGAAATTAATAAGCAGCTGCAACAAGAAAATATATACGAGGGCATCACACACACAAAGAAGATCAGACAAGGAGTGTCTCTAAATTATTATTAATACGAAATCAAAATCACTCAGTACCCACGGATGATATAAAAGAGGAACGAGACGAAACAAGGACATTTTCTCCGCAATACACTGAACGTCAGGCATCGTCGAATGAAGAACCAATGCCTTTGTGTTTTATGGCCTAAAGCCTAAAGGAAACAATAAGGTCATATATTAAGAATGTTGTAATTTAGCGTCCTGTTGCACTGATTCGCGTCCATGAGGTGTGTATGTAATTGACCGTCTTCTAGTGCACAGAATTTCACTACATATTTCGGCATCACTGTGCCATCCTCAGGTGTGTTATTTACGTCAAAATATTGCACGACTCGCCATCATTTGTAGTTTATAAATTGATTTAAAATGCACAGTATATTTGTCATGTATTATATTAAAATCTATATATTAAAATTTGTTAAGTTTGATCATCTTATATGTCGTACTTCAAACTCGCTTATTATATTAATCTTCCGCAATGGAATTCGTTCTTTCTCTTCAAGAAGCACTCTGCCAGAATACTTTGAAATCCAGCATCTGTTGAAAGCGGGAGGAAAACTGTAGGCCACAAGTCTGCCTGTGCTTTCTTCTGCTTAGGCGACTTCATTCACAGCTCTGTATAATTACCCGTGTTCTAGCCTTGTTACTGAAAAGGAAAATGTACTCTAATACTGAAAAGAAACCGGGAAGGGTTTACACTCTACACGCAACGACCCACATGAATGGTCAAATGAAATTCTACACGCATTTTATGACACATTCAAGAAACCTTGAAATCCATCATACCTCTTTTACATCAACAATAAATTACAGCCGTTCTCTATGTATTCCAAATTTATCTCTGACATTAAGGGAGTGACATAGACGCAGATTTCTTTTGAGAACAGGGTGCTTAGAAGATAATAATTCGAATGATCAAGTCAAAGAGGGTTCGATGGGTAGGGAATGGAGCACGAATGCGGAAGAAGAGGAATACATATAGGATATTGGTGAGAAAGCCATAAGGAATGTGACAACTGGGCAGTCCCAAACGTAGGTGGGTTGATAATATTAAAATGGATCTATGTGATATAAAATGCGATTAAAATATCTCAATCAAACTGTCTCAGTGTAGGGTTCTCGTGAAATCGGCAATGTATATTCGGGTTCCATATAAATTCGGGAATTGGCCAAGAGCTCCTGTTCGCAGGTAGAGTACCGTCGTTCCTCAGGTGATAGCACCCTAGAAGCAGTGGAAACGATCAAAGTCTCACCTGTTTCGCTCACCTGGGTCAGTACTGAGCTGATCCCTAGCTTACTTGCATCTGTATAGATGGCGTATGGAAGCTCTTCCCGTGGATGGACTATGTGGACACTACGTGCCAACGACTCACGTAGTTTCAAGAACGCATCCGGGGATTCCTTCGTCTATGTCCACTTAACACCTTGCTTTAATAGAGCTGTTAAAGGTGCTACGAAATTTGCATAGCCGATGATATAGCGGCTGTGAAAATTACATGTCCCAAGGGACTGACGCAATTGCTTCACATTCCTTGGTGCTGGGTATTGTAAGATCGCTGCTATCCGGTCCGGATATGCAGACACACCTGTTCTATTTATTCGGTGTCCTAAAAACTTGACCTCCTCTCTGCAGAAGCGACACTTGGTGGCATTAATGGTGAAGCCTGCCTTTGTTAATTTGCTCAGAACTGCATCTAAGTGCTCCATGTGCTCGTTAAAACTCCTCGAGTATACCAGGATATCATCAACATAAAACACGACGTATTCTAGGCTACTCTCACCCAATGCTAATTTTATCGCCCGGACAAAAGCTGATAAAGAATTTTTAAATCCGTACGGGACCCTTTTGAATTGGTACACCGTCGAATCATACAAGAATGCTGTGTATGGCCTGGAATCTTTATGCAATTCCACTTGATGAAAAGCGGATGATAAATCGAGAGACGTAAGGTAACGTGTCCCGTGAAATTTCTGTAAAAGCTCCTGGATGGGCGTAGTTCGCTCCCTGTCAGGAATCATAAACTGATTCACCTTTCTAGCGTCAACACATAACCTAATTTTACAATTGTTCTTTTTCACCACCATAAGCGGGTTTAGCGTCGGAGAGTTACTAAT